ATCTCTTACAACCTATCAGTGAGCTCCAAATTGTCAAAATCAATGCATTTTCCTCAGCACCCAGTTAGTCCCAGTAACCACTCCCTCCTCTAAAAAGACAGATTTTCCATTGGCTGCCAGGCCCCTCTTTTCTTGGATTCCTTCACATCTTTCTAACATTTGTGCCCTACTTGCTCTTCCTACTACCTGAGCCCAGTGATCTTTAAGGGCCAGTCCTCATATCACATCCTCCCTCCCTACGACAGCTCCTTCAATCTCAGCCTCACTCTCACCATTTGACAAATGAATCATATTTCAAGATTTACAGGCCTAATTTTCCTGGTAGACTCCATCCAATCCCACCTTTGGTTTGGTTTGGTTTGGTTTGGTTTGGTTTTTGAGACAGGACCTCACTATGCAGTTCAAGTTGGCCTTGAATCCATTACAGAGCCCAGGCTGGCCTCAAACTCACGGCAATCCTCCTGCCTTGGCCTCCTGAGTGCTGGGATTACAGGAAGGCACCACACACCTAGCCCAATTTTTTGGGGGGGCAGTCCTGTGAATTGAACCTAAAGCCTTCACTGAGCTACATCCTCAGTCTCGTTTTATTTTTTATTTTCAGACATGAGCTCCCTAAATTTCTAAATTACCCAGCTGGGCTAGCACTTGAGATTCTTCTACCTTAGCCTCTCAGAGGCTAGGTATACAAGTGTGCACCGCCACACCCAGCTCAACCCTGCTTTTCAAACCACTATAAAATATCCCCATCTAGACATTCCATGGAATTCAACATTTATAATGACCCAAACTGAACTTTTACAATCTGTCCTTTTCTCTTACACTCCCTGTATCTCTTTCCGGGGAGACTGGTCCTCCAATGACCTAACCAGAGCCCATCAGGTCTCCCCTCTCAACCTGGCTCCCGAGACCAAGGCGCTGATTCATCCCCAGCTCTGTAGAGTCAGTCCTTACTCCCCACTCCCATCACTTAACCAAGATCACTTGCTCTCCTGACAGGCCAATCAATTTCCCCCTGTCTGCTCCTTCCTACCAATAACTGCCAGGTACATTTTCCCAAACCCCTTCCATGGTTACCCACTGCCCACAGACTATAGCTCCTTCCACAGCCTACCATTCAAGGCTCTTTATATTTTGGCTCCAACTTTGCCTTCCAAATCAATTTCCCACGGTCCCAGTCTCCACATGCCCACCCTCTCCAATGGAGAACAACACTACCATTTCCTGGTCTCCCCATACATTCTTCTTATTCTATAAGTTAGCCCATCATGTTCCCTTTACATGGAATTCCCTTCCTACCATCTTTCCACATCCAAAACCTACTTTCTTCAGAGTCCAATTCAGTATCTCCTCTTACATTCTTCCTAATCCGCTCAGCTCAAGCTAACCCTCCCCTTCCTTCAGCCCACCTTGTTTTTACCTTAGCTCCCCAGGTCACTGATTTGGTTCTTATGTGGATAGCTACAACTGCCAGAAGAAAGAGGCCTTATTCGCCCCTACTGGACTTAAGCACACCAAGGACAAAATGTCTCTCTGAATTCCCCTATTACCTAAAGAGTAGCACAGATAGAGTAAATATAGGGTAAATACATAAAATGATGAGATCTGGCAAAGTATTTGCACGGTGGGCTTTGCATACTTGAGCAATATTTACATGTAAAAGCTGTGTCACAGGATGCCTGAATTTGGGTTTGGAATAGGACGTGCCCAGGATACAGAAGCTAGTCAAGGTGCTCCATCCTAGCATTCTATAGAAGCAGACTCCGTCCCACACCGTTTCCCCAGCTGTTACCCACATCCCAGCCAGCATGCATATCCCCTGTATCCTTGCCCCTTAGAGACAGATACAGTCATCTTCCTCTATTCCATAGGGTTGGACTCTTTTCTAACCCATGCAACTGAACAATCACCAACTGACCAACTGGATGCAACTGGCCTCATTTAGACGCTCCTCCAGAGATATGTGAGCAAAAGCACCAGCCAAGGAGTGAAAAGACCAGAATCCCAGATATGGCCTATCATGAACTAGCTATTTAACCTTCACTGTAATACCCAGATGTGGGATAAAACCAGAATTTCCCAAACTGCAGCATTTCCATAGGCCACTAAGAAAAGTGTGACTGGTGTGGGGGTAAGGATCCATAAGCATATTCTCCATACCATTGCATAAACTCACTGTGGAAAATAGGGGACAAGATGCTCTCTACAACCTCATCCAGCTGTAACAAGCGAGGAATGAGGGTCATGGCTGCAAGGGGCTAGAAAGACTTCTGGAGTCTGCTCTCTCCTTAAGAGCCCTGAACTCTCTCCCTTCTCTCACCAGTGGATGGTAGCAGCTGGGCTGCCCAGTTAAGGAAAGAGGAATGCAGCTTTCTTCTGGCAATAGCAGCCTAGGGATGTGAGAGGAGAACGGCCTTCTGACTGTTGCCCTGCATGCTTGTCTCTCAAAAAGGGACACATTAGCTCTGGGCCTATAAATGAGGACCAACATGCACCATCGCTTTGCCAATAGGATGGCAGAGTAAGGCTGCATGATGGAGGAGGAGGAATGGACACAGAACCCCCAAGTCTCCAATTGCTACATTAAGCAACAAAAGTGGTAACAAGAGACCAAGGTGCCCCAAACCAACCTCCAGCAACAAATGGCAATGGCTTAAATCCAAAGAAATGGTTTCTCTGCACCACTTATCTACCCATCCTCCAGAAACCCAAGAACCAAAAGCATCTTTGGGAAACTTTCTTTGGCTCTTATCCCTCCCCCCCTTTCACATCCACCCATGAGGTCAGAAAGATGCAGGCAAAGAAGGGATGGAAATCCTGGGTGGGGTAAGCATGGCATTGCTGGGCATGTTCCTGTCACTGTCTCAATGGGCCTTCCATTTCTCAATGTTTCCTCCTCTCCCCTCCCCTTCCCTGGGCAAGAAGGAGACTAATCAAACCATCTCAAGAGTCTTTACTCTGTCGTTGGTGTATTCCTTCATCACAGGGAGGACCAGTGAACCTGAGGTAGCTACAAAGGACTTGAGACAACAGGTCAGGGGCTCCCAGGGAAGCATCTGGTAATGAGGAACCCTGCTGCTCCATATGAGTCCTGGCATGGACACTGGTGATTGGTGGCAGGAAAGAGCAGGGCACTTGGTCTCCTGGTAGGGAGATGAAGTGATTGGCATACAGCACCCACCACCCCAGTTCAAGGGGACTTGGGAGCAATGTGGGAGAAAAAAAGGAAGGATAGAGCTTCAGGGTCTCCACCCCCAGAAACAGGCAAGAAAGGCTTGCTAAGAACATCCATCACTCAGGCAAGAGTTGAGGGAAATGGGAGGGGAACAACATGGCAGTGGAGCAGGAGAAGAGTTCAGGAGCAAAGACATGACCTTCGACCACAGTGACACAATTCTAGGGGAAGAGCAGTCACTAGAGAGGACTGTCACCATGGGGATGCAGGGAAGTCACCTGCTGGCTTGCCATCTCCCAGTAGACACGGAGGAATCTGTTAGGCAGAAGAGCTATAACTGTGAGAAGGTGAACAGGAACAAATGGGAAGGAGGAAGTTTGCACAATGGGGGATAGGCCAGGGGAGACAAAACAGGGCCCAGGAAAGCGAGTGCAGAGAGGACCTCTGCACAAAGCATTTGCCTCCTTTCCCATAGCAAGGGCCCCCAGAATGACCAGTGGAACATTCAGATGTCCCATTTCTCCAGTGGGAAGAAAAATAAAGGTTGTCCCTAAAAGGCTAAAAATTCCTCAGGACTAGCTATGTGGATGCCTCATGGTGGCAGCTGGGGCCAGGCTGAGCAGAGGAGGGGCTCCAAAGGGGAGAGGGTGGAACTGGCTTGGGGCTCAGGATCCAATTACATGGCTGTTTCCATACTTAGCCACCTGACAGCCGCTTGGAATAGTCACCACTCCAGTCACTGAAGGCTGCAAGGCCCAAATTAACTCAAGGGCAGACAAGGGCAGGGCCCAGCAGCACATGCAACAGCTGGAGCCCCCTGCTTTACCTCTCCAGTTCCCAAAAGAATAGCTTTGCTTCTGCTCTCCTCACCGGGTGTGTCTCTACAGCCCTCTATTGTCAGGAGATAAGACTCATACCTGATAGTCTGGGGCTTGAGGCCTCCAGAGTCCCATGTGCAAAGACTAAAGGTTTGGCCAGGAGATGAGTGGGAGCCCTAGATACCCAGGAGGGTCCCAGAGCACCTCCTCAATGCACTCCCAAAAGGAATCCAGCCCCAGGAGTCTTAGGCACAAGAGAGGCGGCAAAATGATCGGGTTCCCCTCACAGCCTATAAATAACCTCCATGCTGCAACCCAAGCCACCGCCTCTGCCATACAAAGTGCTGAGATGTCAAAGGAAAGCCCAGGAACACAGCACTGAAGCCCTTCCTGACAAAAGCCCCCACCCCTCACAGAGGTTCTCCTTCAGAATGGGCCCATTCCTCCCTATATTCCATGTCCAGTTCTTTTCCAGCCCAAACCCCAACCTCAACTCCATGTCCAAGCCTATCCCAAATTCTATCCCATGGTTCGTAAAACAACCCCCAACTTGTCCACAATGCTCCTCTCTGTCCTCAGTCATGCAAACCCAGGTCTCTAGTCACAGCCAAAGCCTCTGCCTTATTTCCCACCTGGTGGGAGGGTCATCCAAACGAACTCCAGCTCCAAGACTGTTACTTCGCTGTCTTAGAGGCTCCTCTAGGCTTGATCTTTGAGGCCCTCTTTCCAGTTTCTGCTAGTCAGACTCTTCTCTGTGACCTTGGCCCAAGCCTCAGGCCTATCTGCCTCTCTTTACTTTCTTGGCCTGCCCAAAAGCCCCTTCCTGTTCCCTACTTCTCTCCAGCACTACACTCTTTCTACACAGCCGAGCCTCCAAGGAGAAGGGTGATAACAGAGACACCAGCAAGGAACAAAGCTTTGCATTAACCCTCCTCCTCAACTCCAGGGAGTAGAAAATCCCAGGAGAGCTCAGAGGACACAGCGGGAACTACCCATGCAGAGGGGCATACCTGCTTGTCCTGAGAGCAGGAGCGAGGCCAGGAAGCAGCAGAGCAGGAGCAGTGCCCTCATGGTGACTGCCAAGAGAACCCAGCTGCTCCTAGCCTCTATTTATATGGCGGTGCAGGCGGTGGCAGCGGGGGGGGGGGGGGTGGAGTTGTCACACAGTCACTAGGGCAATTGGGCAGATGTGATGAGGAAGAAACACAGACCCCAGTGGACAGCTTGCTGTCACTGTCCAAGGTGCCAGACCCCTCCCTGGAAGGCAGGGCCCAGGACTGGATTCTCTCCCCTCATCCCTAGTAGCACCTGTATCACATGATGCAGGTCACAAGGTGGGGTAAAGGCGATAATAGGGAGCATCCCTTGGACTGGGGTCCAAGAGATAGGAATTTGAGCATTCCCAAAACTTGTGCTAACTTGACCTGAAATCTCTTAACCATCTCCTGGTTAAGCTGGGAGCTTAACCTAGACATGCCTTCAACTAAAGAAAGAAGCTATGAGAAAACTGATCATATCTGATAACTACTGGCACATATTCTAATAAAGAATTAAGGAAAACATACACTGGGGATTTGAAAGTTAAAAAAAAAAAGAATTAAGGAAAACAAGCAGCAACTGACCTTTGAGGTTGATAGCTGGGAGCTTAACCTTCCCAGGCCTCTGCAGAGAATGCTGAGCAGAGGGGGAGAGGGGACCCTGAGAGATGCAGCTGAGGCTGTGATGTAAGCTGGAGGTGGCACGATAGAGATCCATTTCCAGTGGGCAGGGGCTCCAGAATGTTTAGTAGACTCTGCAAAGCTATTTGATACAGTCTTCCTAATGGTACGTGGTGGTCCCAAAAGCTACCTGAGGGACAGCAGACACTAGCTTGTCTGGCTGGGGGGGATTGTGTCACTGCAGGAAAGAGGCAGTCAGCCATGAAGAAAGGAACTAAAAAGTAAACTAGGTGCCAGGCCTGATGGCACGTGCCTGTAATCCCAGCACTCAGGAGGCTGAGGCAAGAAGAATGCCACAAATTCAAGGCCAGCCTGGGCTATCCAGTGAGTTCAGGGCCAGCCTGATCTACACAGTGAGACCCTATCTCAAAAATAAACAAATAAATGTATTAATGAACTAAAATAAAAATAAATTAAGTATCTGTTATATGCTATGTACATTTTTTTTGAGGCAGGGTTTTGCTATGCAGTTTAAATTGGCCTTGAACTCACTTTGTAGCCCAGGCTGGACTCGAACTCATAGCAGTTCTCTTGCATCAGTCTCCCAAGTTCTGGGATTATAGGTGTGTGTCACCATACCCAGTTTATGTATTCTTTAAGGTACTAAAGATTGAACCCAGGGCCTTTGCATTGAACTATGTTTCTTTTTATTCTAATTTTTTTTCTTTTTTTGGAAACAAGTCAAACTAAGTCCCTCAGGCTGAGCTTGAACTTACTATCTTCCTGCCTCAGACGCCCAGACTGCTGAGATTACAGGTGTATGTATTACATTTTTAACTCCCGCTTGATTGAGGTACATTTAATAAACACTACGAGTATTTAAAAAGTAGAAATTGAGAAATTTTGAGGTTTTTCAACTGTGCAGCCATTAGCAAAATCAAAATAATGAACAGATTCTTCATCCCCAAATGTTTCTCACAGCCCTGCTCTCCAACCCTTCCAAGGCCACCAGTGGTCTGCTTTTGTCACTACACTGTAGTTTGCACTGCCTAGATTTTGCTATGAATGGGAGCATATTGTGTTTTCTCTTTTTTTTAAATTGTTTTTTCGAGGGGCTGGGGATTTAGCTCAGCGGCATAAGTGCCTGCCTTGCAAGCAGGCAGTTGTGAGTTTGATCCCTGGTACCGATAAAAACAAAAAAGACCAAAAAAAATAAAAATAAAAATAAAAAAATTGTTTTTTCGAGACAGGGTCTCACTAATGCAGTGCAGGCTATCGTTGAACTCACTATGCAGCTCAGGCTGGCCTCAAACTCACAGCATCCTACTGCCTCAGCCTCCTGAGTGCATGGATCACACGCAGATGCCACCACATCTGACACACCCCATCAATTACTTTAATCAAATCTTGCTGGGCATCATGACACACACCAGGAATCCCAGCATTCCGGAAGCTGAGGCAGGTCCTGTGAGTTTGAGGCCAGCCTGGATTATATAATGAGATTCTGTCTCAAAAAGAAAAAAATTCAACTAAGTTTTCTGGGAGTTTAGTTAGGTTACAATGAATCTATAGATCCATTTGAAGAGAATAAGTTATTGACTCTGATAACTGGCACCTCAGCCTCCTGGGATAACCAAGTACCACACCTGGTAACAACTGCTACTGCAAATGTTACACTAAGTGAACTATGCCAGACACAAAAGGACGATGTATTAATTTGCTAGGGTAACTATAAGACAAACAACATGAGCTGGGCATGGTGGTACACACCTGTAATCCTAGCATTTGAGAGGCTGAGGCAGGAGGACTGTGGCAAATTCAAGATCAGTCTGGGCTACAGAGTGAGCTCAAGGCCAACCTGAACTGTGTAGCAAGACCATGTCTTAAAAAAGACAAAAGGAAGGAAGGAAAAGAAAGAGAAAGAGAAAGGCAGACAGACAGACAGACATAATGGTCTGTGTGGCTTACACAAGAGATGTGTCTCAATTCTGGAGGCCAACAGCCCAAGATCAAGGTGTCAGCAGGTTCGGCTTCTTCTGAGACTTATGTCTTTGGCTTGCCAATGGCTTCTCCCTGTGTCTTCACATAGTCTTCCCTCCATGTGTGTCTGTGTCCTAATTTTCTCTTCTTATAAATAAGGACACTAGTCGGACTGGATTAGGGCCCACCCCCAATGACCTCATTTTACCTTAACTACTTCTTTAAAGGCCTTGTCTCCAAACACAGATACATTCCAAGCTAGTAGGGGTTTGGGTTCAATACATGAATGGGGGTGGGGTCAACACAACCGAGCCCATAACAGACATTTGTATGGTTCCATTTTATGAGGTACTTAGAATGCTCAAATTCATAAATGAATGGTGCTAGTAACTGCACAACATTACGAGTATAATTAATACCACTGAACTGTGCATGTGATTAAAATGGTACAATTTCTGTTATATATTTTTTCCACAATTTTTCTTAATTGAAGGGGAAAAGTTGAGGGTATACTTCAGTGCCAAAGTGCTTGCCTAGCTTTCATGAGGCCCTGGATTTGAGGCCCAGCACTGCAAAAAGTAAAATAAAATTGAAGAGGGAAAAAAGGTACCTTATTTGGAAAGAAAGATTTTAAAAGGGCCAGGATATAGTTCAGAGACACAGTGCTTGCCTGGCAAGTGTGAGGTCATGAGTTTGATTCCCAGTACCAATAATAATAATAACAAATAAAAAGTAAAGGCTAAAAGCAGGGAAAAAATTTTTAAATGAGAAAAGACACATGCCTGAAATCCCAGCACTTGGGAGGCTAAGGCAGAAGGATTATTGTGAGTTCAAGATCAGCCTTGACTACATAGCGAACTCAAGGCCAGCCTAACTACTAGGGAGACCCTGTCTCTAAAAAAAAAATTTTAAAGCTCCTTTCCAGCTTGCTGCAGCTTCTCTGCAGGCATTTTCAGCAACCCAACAACTGCAAGCTACTGTTCCCAGGATGGTGATCCACCTATATATTGCATCTTCTTCTGGTGTTACATCGATTAAGAAGAAACAGCAAGAATGTGCTTGTTTCTTAGAAGCCAACAAGATAAAATTTGGAGAAAAAGATATTGCAGCCAATCAAGAGATTAAGAAATGAATGTGAGAAAACCAGACCTGAAAACAGTGATCAGCTACAGGGCCGGTATCCTCTGCCACATCAGGTTTTCAGTGAAAGCCAATATTGTCAGAACTCTGATGTCAAATATTGTAGCGTATGCCTTTTTAGGCACCATGAGGTTCAAAGGAAGCAAAAGTCCAGGCAAAGCAGCAAGCATGAACCTTAAGCATTCTGCCTTAAGCATCTTGAAAAATGACTCCCTATTGCTTTTATAAAATAAGTTGTTTTGTTCTTTTTGAGACAAGGTCTCGCTATGCTGTTCAGGCTGGCCTTGAGCTCTCATATCCCAAGCTGGCCTCGAACTTGCAACAGTCCTCCTGCCTCACCTTCCTGAGTTCTGAGATTACAGGTGTGTGCTACCACGCCCAACACTCCAATAAGTTTTTCAAATAGCAAAATTATTTTGGTTTCAAAAGAAATTGCTTAAAGTTGAAATAATTAGGTGGTGTTTTCATGTACAATGAAACAAATGCATAATTAAAATATGAACATTCTGTTGAGGATAACAGGAGATTATGATAAAAGTTTAAATAAATATCATGGGATATTATGCGCCAAGGCATTTTTTTGTTCTTTAATGATTTTGTACAAAGAAAACATCCTTGCTGATACTGTTGCAACTTAAGTCTACCTGCAGCTCAGTGAGAAATTGAGAGAGTTGACAAGTTCCTTATTTAACTACATTCTCATGATTAAGTCATGTTTCTGAGTTGCTTACTTCACTGAAATATGCATGTTCTGTCATGGAATTGGTATAGCAAGTAAGATTAAAAGGACATCCTCTTAAATAGAGCTCAGACTTTAATTATTAAAAAATATATTGGTATTTGTTGCTCATGATTTGTTTTCCCCAGGGTTTCGAGAAGAGAAATTGTAGTGGGTTTCCCCTTTATAAAACCGATTATATAGGGCGGAGAATATAGCTCAGTGGTACAGTGCCTGCCTAGCAAGCACAAGAAACTGAGTTTGATTCCCAGAATCCACCACGAAAAAATAAAAAATAAACAAAACAAAACAGATTGTGACTGGGTGTGGGGGTGCACACTTGTAATCCCAGCACTTGAGAGGCTGAGGCAGGAGGTTTGTGGGAGTTTGAGAAGAGCCTGGGTTACAAAGTAAATTCAAGGCCAGCCTGAATTACATAGTGAAACCCTGTCTCAAAAAATACAAAAAATCAATCAATCAATCAATCAGATTGTGACTCTGGATGCCACTGTCTTTTGATAGTAGACCTTTTTATTTTAGTTTAGTTATAAATTGTTTGAGTAAGTTAATACAAGCACAGACAATATTTTCTATGCCCCTATTC